CATCCAGTGAAAGGACCTTTTAGTTCACATCCAGTGAAAGGACCTTTTAGTTCACATCCAGTGAAAGGACCCTTTAGTTCACATCCAGTGAAAGGACCCTTTAGTTCGCATCCAGCGAGAGGACCCTTTAGTTCACATCTAGGGAAAGGACCTTTTAGTTCACATCCAGTGAAAGGACCTTTTAGTTCACATCCAGTGAAAGGACCTTTTAGTTCCTTTTTATATATTTAATATATTTTTATATATTTAATATATTTTTATATATTTAATATATTTAATATAATCATTTTTTTGCGTGAAAAACATCTAACTTTTCGATCATAAAGAATTCAAAGGTCCTTTCTTGAATTTGAACTGTCATGATTAGTTCACATCTAGTGAAAGGACCTTTGAAGGTCCGAATCAATCACCATATTCGTCCATTAAGAAGGGTATGAAGATTAGTAATATACATTGGGCGTAATGTTTTCCCATTATTCCCGGGTAGATATGCATGAAGGCGAGGTCAATAAAGGTTATGCAAATCACATGGGAACGAGTCTTTTCAAAATGGCGGTCGTGAAAGTGTGTATTAGATGGTYGTTGTTCTGCACAAAACTTTATAAACATCACCCCCAGAACAAAATAAACAGCAAGAACAATGCACTGAAAATGCTTGCAAGTGAGCAGAGCAGCATGTTAAGGTAAAAAAATGTAAATAAAAAAGGTATAAAATAGTTGAATTTTATTTTATCTATTCTACTCAGTTTAAGGTTGAAGGCAAGTGACTTGCTTCATGAATATTTACGACTCTTGTTCAATTATATCAGTTTGGCAACTTGTTTTTACTGTTGTAAACTGTCGCATTTAAGCTGTGAAGAAAGCTTTAAGATGATAGTTATCAAAACTAACCAGAAATATTTCGCATTTTTCACGTTGAGTACTTTTCTAATTTATACACAAAAGGGTCTGTGAATTGAACTTGAATGTACCGAGTGTTAAATTGTGACTAAGAATGCTATGAGAAATTATTTTAAAATCCAGAGTGAATCCAATCTTGTTATTTAACTCTTGCATAGATTAAATATTTAATGAATGAGTGAATGGCAAAAGAATGAACAAAAGAATGAATAAAGAAATTATAGTTAAATGAATTAATGAAAAGATTGCCAGAGTAAAAGTATGAGTGAATGAGTGAACAAATGAATGACTAAGTTGGTGGGTGAGTGAACTACTTAGATTAGGAGAGGGCGGGAGGACGAGAAGAAGGAAGATGATGATGAATGAGCGACCGAGTATTAGGGGGAGGGGAGTCAGTGGGTGAGTTAATTGGTGGGCAGTCAACTTAGTGAATGAATCAATAATATGCCCATCTCAAATTATCTTAAAAGCAAGGCTATCATAGAAATATCAAAGATATGCCACAAATTCTATTGAGAAAAAGGTGATTTCTTTTGTGTTTTCATATTAGCCTGGCATTGAAGATAATTTTGAGATGGATCGGTCCATTCAATATCGATGACATTTTAAAACTCAAGTGTATGCGGGCTTAGACTAGAATCCAGGAGTTGCTTTTTTCGTTATTCTAATTTCTGCTTTTGTTTACCCACCTCAGAATAAGCCCGTATACATTGGAGTTTTAAGAGTCGTCAATGGAAGTGAATGAATGATTGAATGAATGTATGCATGATCTTAAAAGATTTCCCTATATATCTTTACATACTTGCATACGTGTTTAGATTATAACAACAATTTAAGTATTTTTTTCTTTCCAGTGTTCAGTATTGTTAATTTAATTTATATTAATGATAGGGGTAGCAATATGATCTTTTTTATCTACCGAAGACAAGGAGAGGGTAACTCATTTTGACAGGGTAAGTGTATTCAATTAAAAAAAGAATTCTACCTTTAARTAATATAATATGCAGGGGCGGATCCAGGAATTTTAGAAGAGGGGTGACTATTACAAAGGTTTTACCAGGAATTCGAGAAAAAGGGGGTGACTGTTACTAACAATATACTGAGATATTTGAGCAAAAGGGGGGGTGACTAGTGACCCATTTTACCACCCCTGGATCTGCCCCTGATATGTTAGGTTTAGAAAAATAGCTAATTCTATAAGAGTTATGTATTGTGGTTTGAAGGCGTTGAAATTTCTAAGGTAGAAAATTTTCAACAGGTAGGTGACTAAGATCACATTTMTCATGTTTTCAGAATCGCAAAACAAATTCTTTCCCAATGAACTAAAATAAGCAGAATTTTGAAATTCAACCAAAATAAAATTTTATTGAAAAAGAGGTAAATTTTTTTTAAAGAATGTTAAAAATATGAGAATGCGCGGTTTGGTTGAACTACTTGGTCCAAATTTTCCTTGATTTTGTAGTATTTAGTAAATCATAATGTTGAAAATATGTGAACAAAAACTTTTTTACGAAAACTGGTATACTCATCCCAGACCCCACAGTCTGAGCGCTGGCAATTTGTAACACAGGTATCCCATCAAATATTGTCAACGTAAATCAACGAGTGATTACTACTTTTATTAAGACGATTGTCGTCAGTGTTTCGTAACACGTACCAAGAAAAAGCCGATATCATTAAAACGATGCGATAGTAACTATATCTCTCACTATAGCAACGATAGTTATGAAAAGGATATTTGGTATTCTAAGTAAAATGACTGTATTTGTAATCCTTTATGACAGGTGTACGGTCGAGGGTCAGGTGTCGTATTCAACTTTTGATTAAAAGACTTATCGGTTGTTTCTCTGCTTATCAGCCGAGTTTAATAGGATCCGGTAAGATTTGCTGGACTTTTGTGAACCTTAAATCACCTCTATATCGCTGCTGTTTGAATTTTTACTTGTTTTGTCTAATTTTTTTCACTAAATATTCGCTTTAAATTTGACATCAAATATATTCATTTTATCAGTGTTCATTAAAAATATTATAATTCGCAAATTTCATTAGATCTTATGTTCCATATTTTTCGTGGGGTGTGGGGTAGGGAAGTCGAAAGGAAGTGGTAATTGATATACGCTTTTTTTTCATTTTTCGATGATTAAACTGAAACGCGTGCTTTCGAAGGAATGTTATGAGATACGAATTACTTTGTACCGTATTAGCTGCTTCCACACAGTTTTTCTGACTCTTATCGGAGATGAAAGTTTAGTATTGATTGCACAACGGTCGGTTACATCCTCAGTGAGAATTATTTGTTAGGAGTTTAGAAAGACGGGAACGTTATCAAGCGGATGTCCAAATCACTCGAAAGTGCAACCATACTATTCTAGATACAAAGGTCCTTTCGATACAAGATCTTCACTTAAAAAACAACTAAAATGTCAAAATTATATTTTGAACAGCTTAATCATTCAAACGTCTGCCGAGTAGCGCACTTGCCTTTTATTTTAATACAGCGTCGCATGTGAGAAGAGTCTGTTGGGTCTCACTGTGTGATTTCACATGGTTTTTCTGACTCTTATCAGAGATGATAGTTTAGTATTGATTGCAGAACGTTCAGTGTGTCTTTACATCCTCAGTGAGAATTATTTGTTAGGAGTTTAGAAAGACGGGAACGCTACCAAGCGGATGTCTCATTCGGTCTGTGAGCTAGCCGTGTCTTAATTTACCTTTTTATCATTACCGTGTCTTAATCGTTAAGCCAATAGGTTTCAACATTCAATATTTTTTTCTTTTTTAAATGTAATCCAAGATACCGCCTCTTTCCATCTATCTCTTTCCTGAAATAAAATATATCTCTCAAGTGGATAAAAATAAATAAAAAAAAAAAAAAAAAAAAAAAAAAAAAAAAAAAAAAAAAAAA